GTAGTTGGGGCGGGGAGAGGCGCCGTCACCGAGGATCTTTTTACCCGTGATATTTGACCATATTCAGATCTTTCTTCTTAAAGGACGAATTCACGATTAGAATGAAGTCGAAGAAGGAGTAATTCACCTAGTTGAGGGACCCGCGGACCTCCTAAGGGTGCGGACTGAAGCGCAATTGGCACCGAAGGAGTTGACCTCGGCGACCTATTAAGGCTCAATCTTGGCGCGGTGGGCCAGTGCACGCCCACCGACTCGCCGCAGGTCTATGCGCGGATCAGATTGCGGAGAGAGTGCATCTATGCGAGGATTAGATAGCTGAGAGAGCGTAGTGTTGAAGAGGGCACAGCGATGAGAGTCGCATCAATGCTCAAATCAACGGGCAAGGAAGGGGTCCCATTTCTCGGGTTCTGGGCCGTTTCTCATGGTTCTTCCTTCTTTCGTGTACCACTCACCATCCCTAGGTTAATTTGAAATGGGTTGCTTTTTCGTCGTGAATTCGTCCTTTAACGTCTGCTAAGGAAGGAGAAAAATAGCGGTGTGAAAGAGAAACCTCGAAAGAAAGAACGCAAGAAATCAAAACATTACAATTAAAAGTGTTCTCACTTGGGTCGACTTGGCAACACTTTCTGGAGAAATCGGCTCAGTTTTCCGCTATTGTTACCTTTCACAAGAAGCGTCTTACTCATATAACAGACATGGATTGTTGAGACGCGCTGGAAAACGAGTAAAACTGTCCATTTAAACGTTAAAGGAAGCGATTACGATAAGAAAGGGCCGCATCGGGGAAGCATATGCGCCACACGAAGCAGTTACTTGGCTGCCAAGGAAGCGAATGTGGCGCTTTCACGACGAAAGGTGCCCTGGTTGCTGAGCAGGACTTCCGAAGCACTCCGCCCCGAAAGCGTTACGCCCACTTTTAGTTGATGACTTGGGCGAGCTGTTTGCTGTTGGCTTTTCATTTTGGAAGATCATTTCCCTTCTAGCGGCTGTATCTTCCAACTTGCCCATGTAATGCCTTATCAATCAAAACACTATGCTTGTTGGCATGATGGCGGCTATCGGGGTTAACACGTCCGAACAACGTCGTTCTTTACCGTCGCTCATCCATGGTCGAAAATGAAAGGGCAATCAAAGGGGTACTATTTTGCTTATTTTTGACGGATTTCTTTGCTTTTTTCGCCATTGGCGTACTATTGAGACCCCCACGTCCCCTCCAAACCCCTTTGAGAAATCTCGTCCGTCACATCCCGCCCGCTTCTAACATCCGACTGGATGCTTTCCGCCTTTCCCTTGCAACCCGCCCTTTCTCGGCAACAATTCATCAACTTCCCATCATCCACCCCATCACGGCCGCCGGCCTTATCTCGGTCGTATAGTGATTACGGCTACCTGCAGCATCACGTCCGGCAAGATCCTTGAGGAAATTATCGTTATTAAAGGAAGCGATCACGCTGGCTTCCACGCTGGATTTGCTACCCTCGCGTTATCAATCGATAAGGTGTGAGGCAGTAATTGTTGGACGAGTGTAAGCCCATGGAAGATATGATACGATGAGATAAGAAGGTGCGGCTGCTTGATAAGAGGTGCACTCCAGAATGAAAACGGGACGATAACGATAACGGTATCATATCTAGCACTCTTATCGCACCCCTTTCCACATCGATAAGTCTTGGTTTTTGCTGAACGGAAGTGGATTTCGGCGCCTTATCACTCCGTTGATAAGGCGCCACTGCCACTGAAACTTCACGTGTTCTAACATTGGGCAGGACCCCTATCCACTCCAGTACACAGCTTTCCTTATCGTCCCTATGAGAATTATCGTGACCACTTCCTTTAAAGGAATCTTCCACGGAAAAAGCTCCGCCCTCATTACCACAGAAAACGATACCTTAAAGGAATCTTCCACGGAAAGAGTGATCATTTTGTCTTGTGTGTAGGATTAGTATTATCGAAACTAACGCTTATGTTCCGTTCTTTTTGCTATGCTCATGAGGCTAGGGGCCTAAGGGGTATCGTTTTTCTGTGGTAATGGAGGCGGAGCTTTTTCCGCGGAAGATTCCTTTAAGTGACCCCGAGCAAATTCTAGTGTGAACTGGAGATAACAACACAAAAAATTCGCCAGGCGAAAAGAAACCGTCGACAAGGCCGAAAACGAAACCCCCGCTCCCACTAGCAGTGAAGGAGGCTGGCTTGGGAGAGAGCACGTCCAAACGAGTTTTCCGGATATGCCAGCCGTTCCATCGGTTGATACGGCAATCAACCTAGCTGATTTCACACGTTATGCCAGCCACGCACCACATCCCGCGGTGGGCGGGCATAGCTGATGCAAGAAGCCATCGCTGTAAGTAGTAGGCCAGAGGCCTTGTCGCCGCGCAATCTCGAGTCAGGAGCGTGGCGTCACCCTTCTGAGCGCATTCCTGGAATATTAGTGATGGAAAGGCTTTCTATGTGCACCTTATCATGACTTTTAGCTTTGAAGCCTTTTCCGAGAACCTTTGCACACGAGTTTTTGGGAATGTGTAGATGAAAGTATCATTATGCGAAGCAGTGAATCTTAGGAAGGGCGCTGCTAACAAGGGAAGGATGGTAGGTCGAAGTGGCCGTTCGAAATGAAATGTATACCTCCTGATGCGTCTCCAGACGCTGATTCCAAATCTGCCTTCCAAATCTGCTAAACGACTCTCCGAACGGAGTTAAAGCGTAATAGCTCAGTGGTGATGGTCCGGGGTGGCAGGTAAAAGCTCGTAGGATCGGTTCCTTTGCAAGTTTGTTGCTTTGCTTTTGTCTCTAGAAGTGTTGCGGACAAAAGCAAAGCAACAAACTTGCAAAGGAACCGATCCTACGAGCTTTTACCTGCCACCCGGACCATCACCACTGAGCTATTACGCTTCATAACTCCGTTCGGAGAGTCGTTTAGCAGATTTGGAAGGCAGATTTGGAATCAGCGTCTGGAGACGCATCAGGAGGTATACATCTTCATTTTGAACGGCCACTTCGACCTACCATCCTTCCCTTGTAAGCGACATGCTGCCGCACACATTTTGCGGTGCAACGTGTGCGACTTGTAATTCGAGCCGCTTGCTCGGCGTTAGCACGAGTGAAGACATGCACACAGTAAAATAGCATGCGTCTGGATGAGGGCATCAGAGATCAAAAGAGACGTCAGAATCGATCGGTTTACACGAAACATGCCTTCGCGACGTCGCGCAGTGACCTACTACTATAAGGACTTCCCTGCATTGCGTCGTGCAGTAAAGTATCATTTTTTAACGGAGGGAAAGATTTCCTTGCGTTTTCAAGTACTCAAGGTAAACTCTTCTCACAAATGCAAGTAATCAATCAACATCGACGCTTTATTCAAAAACATTGGGTTAGCTACACGAGTGCTTGGACTACAGAAGTGGGCTAAACAGGCGCGATGCGTACTGTTGAAAGGAGCAGAATAAATTTGAGAGATTAGACTATAGAGCAAAGCGATATCATTGGAGATCTTCTTGCGCCTCAGCACATTTGTTGAAGCGATCCATAAATTCCTCGTATTTTTGGGTGGTCTTCGTTGGCAGTTGCGCGGAGACTCTCTAGAAAGGCAGAGAGATCGAAGAGTATACATGATAGAAAAGCTGAGATAACTTACAGTTGACATTATGTGTTCCATCATGGCTGCATGGATTGTCTGCAACTGTATGGCCCGCTGCACTGCGTGCATTCGACCCTGCCGAGCACGACATATGCAATCGGCAATGACGAGCCGCTGGAAATTGTCGAAATGAGACGCTCGTGTGCCGATCTGAAAACACAGTTATGAACGTAGAAAATTTGAGTCTAAGAAAGGAGCGTAATATGCTCAAAGGCACGGGTCGGTATCGAATTTGTGTGTTATTTAGCTCGAAAATCAGATAAGAAGTGCATTGAGGAATGTGAATGAGGAAAAAAAGCGAAGCGCCATAGAAACAATTAAAATTTCCTTTGTAACGTGGGTCCTGCTACATGTGACGGAGAAACACAGCGCTGCGAGGAGAGGAAAATGCGAGGGAGCCCGTCGTATGTGAGGACGCAGACACCAAATATGCCGCAATAGACAAGGATGGCAGCGCTGCAGCTCGAAAAGCAAGGCCTTAGCGCCCTTGCCACGCTTTTTTGAGTCACGACAGTGTCGCTCCGTGCTTGACCCTCTTCCGCCCTCGATAGCAAGCCTACTTCTCTTCTCCTCCCCAGCGCTATTCCCCCTCTGCCGCAGTGTCTCCTGCCTCTATCAGTCGTCGCCACTTTTTTCTGTCTAGGACATCTTCTACCGCGGCGGTAGCCTCGCTTAGGTCCTTCCTGATTACGTCTCTCCACATTTTCTCTGAGGCCCTCGCACTCTTTCCTTCGCACTTCGAAGTCCATCGCTGTCTTTACAAGGTCGCAATGGCTTCTTATCACATGCCCAAATTTCACCCTAATGCTTTCAGCCCGCAACAACGGCGCATCGTTATACCAGTGGGCCAACCTATCCATAGATTCTCCGGCACGACTGCTGCTGGGCGTGTTGCTTCAAAAGAAGCGATCACGGCTCCCAGGTGTAGGAGCGTTCCACACTCTTTAACGGAATAATTCGAGAGCTGAGTTGGAGATCTGTCCGGACGAGGCAAGGCTCGTCCAGCTGAAGGCCTCTTGAAATTAACAGCATGAAATATGAAGATTGAGCGAGAAGAATAAGTTGTACACGTAAAGCGCGCAATCCCTTCCACCTGTCAAACGTAGGTGATGGTGAGTTCTGGAAGCTCGCTCCAGCGCCGCGACACAGGGTCACGCCCCTGAGTCGTCACCTATCGTCTCAATGGGTACGCCTCCTACGAGCACTATAGCTTTCCCATTCGTTTCTATAAGGTTTACCGCGACCACTTTCCTCAGAAACTAAGAACATAACTACTCCGGTAGTAACACAATGCACAAATATGACATTATCAAAGACTGGAAGGGTAGAAGCTATGATTCAGCGGACCAGCTTACGAGTCTGGGTGTACGGAACCACTGCCAGGTAGACCACTAGCGCCTATCAGGTTAATTTTGACCGAAGTGGTACTAGCCTTAAATATTCAAACAGTATCACGTGTGTTGTCATCGCGAATTTGTAACGATCTCGAACCTTGGCGGACTAGACCATAACGCGTGCGTGTGCCTTGTGGAGCGCCTTTGAACGCCCTGCACAATACCTTAAAGTTGTCATATAGACCATTGCGCTCCCGCGCTATCGTGATCGCTTCTACTCCGATTTACTAACCAGGGAAGGACGATGGGTCGAAAAGGCCATGTGCAATGGGACTTATGGCAAGGTCATCAGTCCGTTCGCACTATTCGAACGAGGGAGTCGCATTTGTGGCTTCGGGAAGGGGGTTTCGCAAGGTTACCATAGTGGGAACGAAGGTTGACGAAGGAAAGCAACACCCATACAAACAGCCATGATGGTGAGGAGAGGGGGAAGGAGGATAGAATTGGTGTTGGAGTCCTGTAAGATTGTTACTGGTGGGAGGACGCCAAAATTTTTGAAGAAGTGCGAACGTGACGGTTGACCCTGACCAGTGGATCTAGGACGCTTATCCCGAATCTGTTTTCAAAATCTGCCAGTAAATTTTTTGAGCGGAGTTATGAATCAAAATAGAGCAGCGGTAGTGGTCCGGGTTCACGGGCGAGATCGTAGGATCGATTCTCCGACGGGTGATTTGCCTACAAATTCACCCCTAGGGTATTTGTATGTCCCGAACACGAATATCACACCTGTTTGCTGCAAAAACGTCTGTCAAAAGTTCTGCGGGCTCCATGTACAATCGTTAGCAAGTATCCCCGGAATTGTTTCCAACTCTAAACTTCTCTGCACGGGTAACTATAGACAGGCATTGATCAGCTAGTACCAAGAACGAGAAGAGCGTTGAGTGCACACCACACACCACAAGAGACGACGGTCAGAAAGAATCAGGTTTTTCTTGGCCGTCACTTGGGGTGTGTGGTTAGCACTTAATGCTCTTCCCGTTTCCCGGAATAGAGAATAGATTGAGAGCCTCTTTCAACTGTTGCCGCCAGAACCCGTCAGTAAACCGATCCTACGACCTCTTGCTGTGAGCCCAACCACTACCGCTGCACTATTTTGCTTCATAACTCCGTTCAGAAAATCGTTTGGCAGATTTGGAAAGCAGATTCGAGATCAGCGTCCAAAAACACATCCAACAGGTGTAGGTCTCATTGCATATGGCCACTTCGACCATCATCCTTTCCTGGTAAAAAAATGGTTTTGTTCTTGCCTCAAACGCAGCATAAGTCCCTGCTCGACCACAACCGGAGAGGCTCATATAGATATGTGGATTAGGATACTTTCTGTAACAGAAAATCAATTGTAAGGGCGAAAATTGTTCATCCTCCGCCCGACCTGAACACTGATTGTATTTGCCACAAGTCCAAAAGTCGAACTGGCTGCTTCCCGTGCGTCCATCCAGAATAATGATGCATGTGCACATATCTGAACAATTCGTTCAAATTTTCGACTTCAGAATTTTGCGGCGATCAATACAAGCTGATCGACCTACTTTCTACGATCTCCGCTTCTGACTGAAATCACGTGCATTGTCCAGTCACGATCGATGACCACTCGCTTGAACTCTCCAACTCGCACATGACTTCCATCAAAATGTACAAAGTCCCTAGAGAGTCAGGGTTACTTCCATGGGTTTGAATCAGAACAAGCAACCGTTACTGTTTAGACAGACTTAAGGGCTTTCAGGCATAATTTCATTCATGAAAGCCAAACATCGGTTCACGAACGCAAGGCGATGCTGACGATGCGATGCTTCTCCTCGAGGTGTCCCCCCAAGAGGCCCGTCGCGCGGCGAGGGAAGAGACGCAGATGCGGCAAAGGACGAGTCGCAGCGCGTGCTGTGCGATATGAGACGTAGTATGGTACACTCTATT